GTTTCAAAGAAATAAGAACCAACATTTTTTTTTTACTTATATGATACAAAATAGCGCAATAGCAAGCGGGCTGGCCAATGTACTTGCATGCCTCCTGCACTTGTTACTTCTTCTTGTACCAGTAGTGGAATGGTTAACACGCTCTCACTTTAAAAGAAAAAAAAAATCTCGGCCCCTCTGGTTGTCCCATAGCGGTAGACATCTGTGTAACACCACTTTACTAACTCCGCCTTGTTACAAAGTGTTGAAAGAGACCAACAAACTGAGAACACTCCAAGTTAAAAAAAGTAACTTAGAGTTTTGTATAAACAGACTGGTAGCATGAGCACTAGAGTTTTGTCCAGACGGAACGATAGCAGGCCCTGTAGAGTTCCGTACAGTGGGAACGACAGCAAGCCTTGTTGGGTTTCGTCCTCAAGGCTGAGCAGAAAGGATTGTTCATTTTCGTTGAAGTTCGACTAACAATAACAACCTATCGGTCAACTACTTTGTGATGCCAAGGGTGTTTTTTTATTTTTGCGAATATTTATGAGGTGGAGGCACAATACAAGGTTATGTCTTTGTAAAGTCAATCCCTAAATCCCAAATAGCACAAAACACCGGGTGGGGGATGGGGCGGTATTGGCCTGCCGGGATACCGATACCGGCCAGTACCGGAAACGCCCCAAGCGGCGACATCGGCCGGGCCCAATGCCGGAATCCGGCCGGTATCGGGAACTTATTGGGAAACCGGGATGCCGGGAATACGGGATGTTCCCAGTGAGCTCCCGACACAGATCCCCGGCATGGAACCGGTGGTACGGTAGGAAAACATCAGTGTGCCAGCGTGTTTCCGGGTCAGAGCCAGTCCAATTGCGGATTAGTCCCAGCGTAAAAACAGATCAGTGCCAGCGTAATTGCGGGTCAGTGCCTGCGGAATTGCGGATCAGCACCAGCGTATGCGTCATTCAGTGTACCCAGCATGGAACCAGCAGAATGCTAGCTGTGTCAGGCTTTAAAGCCCAGGAATGACATCCTACTGCATTTTTGAACAGCTAACTTCTCAGTAGATCAAATTGACTTAAACGTGGAAATGCTAAATTTCTCAGTCCGAACTATTTTATTGGTTTTCATATCTTTTATAGGTGCTGACCGTTTTTAACATGTTTTGCGGACTTGAACTGAAAAAAGCCGGTTTAGCATTTGTGCAATTTTAAGAAACCATTCTGCGTGAACAATTGACTTTCTCCATGTATACAGTCTACTCAGGGCAATTATTGTATACTCGCTGAGATGACATGTCCCATTCATCTGTCGCCCAGATGCATATTGTGGGTAGTACAAGAAGGGAACATACAAATTTTTTTTTTACCGTGACGTTCTTTATTGTGACTCGTGCATCCATAGCAGCTAGCTCCTCAGCCAGTGTCCCTCATCGTCAAAGGCGGTTGGAACCACCAGTGGAGTGTCCGTCTTTTTAACTCTATTGCCCTTGCCCGCCTCCCTGCCCGTCAGCCACTTCTGCACCGCGTCCACGCTGCACGAGTGCGACTTTGTATGGCACCTGTAAAGAGAATTGTCAGATCACACAGATTAGTTGAGGGATAGGGGAAGCCAATATCTTGCATATTAGCTACACACGAGGTGCTGTTCACACACTGCAGTTTGTGAGCGTTTCCTTTGTGTAAATATGGGTCCCTCACCTAGCCTGCAATTCAAAGGTGACAGAAAGAGAGCACCACAGAGGTGAAGATTGTGGGTTTGGCTACCACGCTAAGGTGCAGATTCTATGGAGGCATATGGCTATTTCATGCAACATCCTATTAATCTGAAATGGGGGGTGAGACGGGGCGGGGGGCGAGAAGGGGTGGGGCGCAGAGATGAGTGGCTAAAAAAAGAGCAAAACTTCCCCAACTGACAGTCTACAGACCAAGGCCTCTAAATGGTCTTCATTACATTTTCAACCTGGAAACTAACAGGATAACAAGACAAGACCAACGAAAACCTTTTTTCACAGTTCCTTCAAAACGCTGCTTTTCAGTATGAAGGTTCTGAAAATGCTAACACAGGAGATATTCGTAATAGAAAATGCAAGTCAAATTAAAAAAAAAAAAAAAAAACGACAGGAACTGACGATTTAAATTTTGCATATTGCAAGACTTAACGGGAGAAAAAATTGGGTTGTGTGTGTGTTTATACAGCTTAGAACTTGGTCTGCCTCAGGGGGGCGACGAGTCTCCCAGCTGTAGATGAAAAATTTAGCCAGTGCGGTACAGCCGCTAGCCTGGGGTCTTTAACGTGCATCACGCAGTAGTGATACACGACCGCACGCCGGTACGATGCTCATCCAGATCGAAACGGGCAGGGGTGGGGCTCGAACCCAGGATCCCTGGGTTCTGCAGCGCGAGCTTTCGCTCCACGTGCTCCGAGCTGGTGTGCGCTAGACCACTCGGCCACCGATCCCCCGACTTAACGGGAAACTGAAGCTGTTCTGTACCTGAGGAAGAACACCAAAATCGTCATGATATGGCATGCAAGATCACGAATATCGAGTTCATTTTTTCAATCTGGTGCACGGAGGCTGCAGAAGTTAATTTCTAAAGTACAGCTGAAGCCCCTTCTTCCTGGGGCGTGACGTCATGCTGGGAGTTTTCGGAATTTCTGCTCTCGCTCATCTTCAGTTCCTGTCCAACCTATGCACGTGAACTCTTGAATTTTTAAAAAGGTCAAAAATAGACGTCACGACTGGCGTCAGTGTGGAAAAATACAACTGGCAAGCTTGCAATTGCACGCGCCACCCACACGAGCGACACGTGCTTGGCGCCCCAAAGATCCTAGTACGAGGTCACGACTGCTCTGAGGTTTTTCGTGTTTTCTCGCGTCCAGTTACACCTTCGGGGAAAACGAAAGCGATATTCAGGTTCACAGGACAAAAATACGGCAGAAGTCACCTATAACTCGTTTTTTTTTGTCAAGAAGTGTTTCAGTTTCCCTTTAATTGTCAACATATTTCAAAGATTATGCTTGTCCATTGAGCTCCAATAGGGATACCATCAATTTAATAGCTAGTAATGAATATGCATTACCGATGACCACCTTACACATCATGGCGTCCTTGAACCTTAACTTTCGTTGGTAGCCCAGGAGGGAGAACTGCTCCTGGACTTGCTTTGAGTACAGGCGTCCCACTATCTCTCGCACCGCCTTCTGCAGGTTCCTGCTGTCTCCTAGAGACACGAGCTGCTCCTCCTAGAAAGACAAAATGTAATTTCAATATGTCAATAAAGTTATTGACATGCAGACACAATGGTATGAACATGTCTCAAGTAAGAGAATGTGAATGCCCAGGTAAATGCAGTAAGCCACACTATACACGCATCAAAATGTTACAATATTTACTGGAGAGAGAATAAAAAATATTTGAATATATGGAAACTCTACCTGTCTTAGGCGAAACCAGAAAGATTAAAATATTTCCCTTCATACTCCGCTAAATCTCATTAGTCAGTCACAACCGCTGCACCGTCCAAATTGTGCAAACGTTTTGATGGATAATCTTTGCTCATCAGCATCTACTCAGTAATTTTAATAATGTATGTAGTTCTCAAAACTGTGCATTCAAGACCCCGCGCATCTTGAATTTGTTAAAGCTTAGTCTAGCTGCCGGCTAGTCACCCTGCAAATTTATCACCCATTTTACGACTTTACGAAGACTGGAATTGAAAAAGGCATAAAAAGGCAGGAATTGACCAAAACCGTCATCATAGTTGCAAAAAATGGCAACAGCAGCACAGTATGAGTAGTTACCTTTCCATATTTTTGTTTAGTGCTGACTCAGTGGTGGCCCTGCAGGCCAATGAACCAACTTACTCAGCTCAAGCCCGCCTCGTGTAATAATCGCTTGTGCCACTACCGTATGCTATGCCTGGAGACACAGCTACGCATGCACTCACACCCCCTGAATTAAGTGGCGGATGCAATGACAGTTACTCTTTCACCCTGGAAAATTTGATTTCCTCTCATAGGGTGACCTTCGGTTAGGACTGGTTAACATCTCATTTTGGAAATGCACTACTAATGTAAAGTAAAGATGGAATTAATTAAGATTTATTGGCAACCCCTTACAAATTTGTTTGGGCATACAGATATGGTGGGAACGCTCGAAAGCGATTTTAGACCAAGCTAAAAGTTATTTTAAAGCATGTACCTTTACTTCTGTAGCAGATGCCGAAAGCACAAATGAATTTATCGCCCTAAATATTTAGATCTCTTGACTATAGCCTCAAATGAGAACAGGAACAAAACCAAAAGAAGCCCAATATATACTACAGCATCTCGATCCTTCTGTCAAGCAAGCGTTAAACACAAAAAGCACGCAGGCAGGTTTGTGCGTGCTCCGCACACATACTCACGGCAAGAGTTGTTGGAGGTGCGGAATTTAACTTCTAAGGATAAAGCGGGCAGAAGTGTCGTAGCAAATCAGCATGATTTATGATTATTTGCAGGCCGACATATTGTAAGCACCCAAAGGCAAATGTGTTGGGCAATTTCACTTCCCTTGTTGTGAAATGTTTTACTTAAAAATATTTCAAGAAGCGGAAGTTGAAAAAGACTTAAAGGGGCACTCAAGTGCTTCTTGGGGAAGTTTGTTTATGAAAGCATATTGTTTGTTGGGCTTCAGTCAATGAAAATGACCAGTTATAGACGGCAAGACGCCGAAATAAACTCGCAGCAAAAGAAATACGCAGGCACTATTTCCTCTTGGGGAGTCCATCCTGTGTCCCCACCACCGCCATAAAATTAACCAATGAAAATTGTTAATATCGTGGAGACTCCGAGTTTACTAATATTGCTTTTTTTAGACACATGCACATTATATTTTGACAACCACGTCAAATCTTAGGGTCTAGGTGACGTAATGTAGCTATTATTGATTGAAAACGAGCGAACTATGTTTTCTCCTTGCCTTGTTACGCGGGAGTGATGTGCCCGCGCGGCGACGCCGCGACGCGGCTGACGCGGCTGCGTCGGCTGCTTCGCTCCGTCGCATCTCCGTCGTCAGCCGGGTTTCTTCCCGATGCTCCCACTTCATCCCGTTCTCGAAGCAAGGTTCGCGAAGACGCGAATGGTTACGTTGCACCGGGCAAGAAAACGACCACCGAGGACCTCCTCCACATTCCTCGTTTCCGTGCGGACACCTTCGAGACGTTCGCCAGCGGTGACCGTAGTTGTGGACGCCACCAGTCTGCTGTACCGACGCTTCTGCTTCCCGTCGCCGACGGGACCGAGCGAGGAGCCCGCGAAAAAGTCCTGGTAAGTGTTTGGTGATTTTTGTGAGTTTCAACGTCGCATTGTGCAGCAGTCTGCGTGACATACGTATTCGAAGGGTGTTTTGTAGAAGAGAACCGTGTTTTTCAATCCGCGGAAATAAACTGCGCATCGTAGAAAGCTGAATATCGCTGAGACACTAGTGATGGCGACAGAATGCGAAAGTTTGCAAGCATGACGTTACCTGAATCAAAAGGATACTAATACTTTATTTGTACTCAGTGGGGGAGGATTACCCACGCGTACAGGGTCACAAAAGGCAATGCTGCCCATACCGGAATGAAGCCGATGTCCACCTAAGCCTAAAAACGTCACGATTTTTTTTTTTTCTTCTGGGACCTAGGTTTTCTCTCTTTTACCATAGACGCGGGTAATTTTGAATATGATCAGCATCTACCAGCTCGCCTGCACACTCATTGTCGTCGTGTTCTGCGGTGCAGTTTATTTACTTAGACCAGAATGCACGGCTCTGTTTTCTCAAACAGCTGCCACATCACGCAAGCAATCCCGGCCTGCCGGTTCGAGCTTCATAATTGAGGACACGCTTCGTTCGCGAGCTTAGAGCGTGTATGCGCAGCCAAAGCGCGGCGAAACGAGCGAATGTGCCTGTGCTTGTCGTGCGGGTTCCCAGGAGTGGCTCGCGCATTGAACGGCCAGTGCGTGAGCCACGCGGGACGAGCGCAGCGCTCGTCCCGTATGATTCTTCTACGTCCTCGTCTGTTTTTGCTGTTCCCTACGATGAATTCCCACCAACTCGCCCGACTCTCCATTCTTCTAAGTGTTAAAAACCAGGCATTGTGAAAAACATTGTAGTATAAAAGTGCTATTTGCAGGTCCTAGTCTCAGCAGCTAGACTGCTGCATCCTGCAAGGCAAAAAGGATCCTGAGGGACTGCACTGTCGAGATGAATCTCCCTGGTCGTGGAGGAGCCAGGGGTGCTATGTTGCGCTTTTTGCACTCCCAGGAGACTAGGGAGAGGGAAGTGACGTCAACGACACAGCAAACGCAGATTGGATGTTGATTTCATTTTCTTCTGTCAACATCCAATCTGCATTTGCTATGTCGTTGACGTTACTTCCCTCTTCCAAGTCTCCTGGGAGTGCAAAAAGCGCAACATAGCACCCCTGTACCGTTGGATACTTTCGACTCTTGCGTCCCCTACTGCAGCAGCGAGGTGCCATACAACTGCCTATTTCCTGCTCCCAGCAGCATGCCAGACTCTGAGGCGACATACTCTCCATCCAAGCCTGCCAAAGGTTTCGAGAGGTAAGCTATGCGTATGTGCGCCTAGAACTTAGAAGTTTCTGATCTTTGCACGCCTTGTGCATTTGTTTACCCTCCCTCCGCATGCGTCCACATGCTTGTGCCCCCTTTAATTTTGCCCAGTGACAGTGCTTGCTTGCTTCGTCATCATGGGTTTCTCATGCCTTTTATGCTATCCGTTGCTTGTGTGCCCCTCCTTGTGTTCCGATGCGCCACAGACGAGTATTGAAATACATGCTCTCCGCATATTATTTTTATGTCCCTCGCACGTAATACTGCATTGACTTTTCTTTTCATGTGCTGCCACAGACATCCTGAAGAGGCTACACCTTGGCAAAGCAGCTCTCCTGTTGGTCTTTAATAAATGGGGCTTTCATCGAGGAGGTAGACTGGAACTGTATAAACCAAACCCGGGCAACTGTGCATGAGAGCACAAACATTTAACACAAGTTCGATGCCATTCAGACTTACAAAGCTAAACATATTTTCCAGTCTACACTACGGTTTCCCCTCCCATCTGCAACATTGTCTCTTCTCGATAATTCACTGGTTCATGTCTTGCTAACCTTTGAGGAAACAAATGAAAATAGTTTTAGCCAAAGCCGAATGATTATGCAGAGGTTTGTTCGGAGAGTAGAACTTTTGCCAAGCACCAAGAAGCATGCTGGAAGTGCATTTACACACGGCATCTGCAAGAGTAACTGTTGCAGATGCCAAGACATGCGCACTCAGCATTTGCCTATGTCCCCACCATTCTCCTTTGTGCCTTGGCAAAAAGGTTTGATTTCAACCACTGAAAGAAATGTCAGTTATTCATTTACTGGGTAACTCGTATGTGCATTGAAGGAGCAAAAACAAACCTTGTTCCTAAACAGCGTAGTGTACGAGCCTTCCCAGCCAATGTGCTTCTGCAAACCTCACGACAGAATAGTTTCGAAAAGTGTGAACTCTGAGTTTGTGTTTTAATAAACGGTACCACGTGACTCGCGGCGAGCTGCTGTCGGTTATGTTGTCGGTAAAACACCCGGATTCAAAGGATTGCGTTGTTCTGCTCTTAGGGGCTATATAGTGCTGTGATCGCTACTACCCAACCTTGGTGTCACACCACTTCTGCAAAAAGTCACTGTAAAATTGCCAGTAAACTTGCAAAAATGACACCTATACAATTATCTTGCAGAATATTACCTCATTTAGTAATCACTGTGTCAATATGCATTTAAAAAGAAACCTAAACCTTTTTTCCCTGAAACACAAAATATCAACTTTTAGGTTTGGCAACAGAATATTGTTACTGAATGTTTAAAAAAGATAGGTGAAAATTCGATTCTGTTAAATCCTAAGATTCGGCACCGAATTTTCGATTCGGCAAAAAGTTTGGCCCCTCACTAGTATCTAGTCTCGCTGTTTCAAGATAATCTGCAATTCACAAAATTCATCGAGTCACCCAAAACAAACCATCTGAAAGAAATGTGCTTCCTCTTGGAGGTCATGAACAGCTATGAATGGGCAATATGCAAAAAAAAAAACAGTGTCCCCAGTGGTTCAGGTGCACTCTGGGACCAGGAGACTGTCAATGGGTAGTTTCGGTTTCACTGGGTCGTGCATCTGTTGTGCTATTGTCTTCGCACCCCCATTGCTCATGTTGTTGTGGTTGCTCCATTCTTGCGCACGATGCAGTAAGTGCCCTTTTTTTCTCGTTGCTACATATCAATCGCAGCGAATAACGAAACAATTAGGATTTTTTCTGACACGGGGGACGAGCAAAAACACCATAACGGTGAAGTCAAGTGAATGCAGATTGAATGCCGTGCCAGCTTACCGCGTGCATTGGTTTGCAACCTTGAGAACAGCCACTGAGACTAGTACTTTGTTTCTATAACACCCTTGTTCCCGCGGCCAATTTTCACACAGCAACGTAGCAAAGGGCGCAAGTTTATGCTTGAACGTTCTCGTACAGCGAGCTTCGTCATGTATTGTGTTAGCCCAATTGCAAATAGCGATTGGCGAAGCAAAAGTGTTATAAAATGAGTGCTAGTCTCGGTGGATGTTTTCGAGGTGGCAAACAAATGCACGCAGCGAGCTGGCACGGCATTCGGTGTACGTCGCTCTACGTTCACTTCAGTTCGCCGTTGGAATGTTCTCGCTCAAAACCCGTGCCACCAAAATAAATTGTTTCATTATTCGCCGTGTCAGATTTGTGGCGACAAGAAAAGGGCATGCAGCAATCCACAACGACATAATGGCAATGTGGAGACGATAGCAGACGACAAATTCACAACCCGGTGAAACCAAAACTACTTATTGACAGTCTCCTGCACCCAAATTGGGTTGTGTGTATGTTTATACAGCCTAGAACTTGGTCTGCCTCACAGGGGCGACGAGTCTCCCAGCTGTAGATGAGAAATTTAGCCAGTGCCGTACAACTGCTAGCCTGGGGTCTTTAACGTGCACCACGCAGTAGTGATAAACGACCGCACGCCGGTACGATGCTCATCCAGATCGAAACGGGTAGGGGTGGGGCTCGAACCCAGGATCCCTGGGTTCTGCAGCGCGAGCTTTCGCTCCACGTGCTCCGAGCTGGTGTGCGCTAGACCACTCGGCCACCGATCCCCCTTCTCCTGCGCCCAGAGTGCACCTGAACCGCTAGGGGCACTGCTATTTTACTTATTGCCCATTGGCTCCAATAGCTCATAGCATCCGCTGCAGTCAGTTGTAAGGTGAAACGGAGTATGGAAATATTTGCACAGAAGCGCCGCGAAGATGGCACCCAACAAAACCCCGAGTGTTCTTGGTGAGAAGTTATGCGAATCGATTACAACTTTGAAGTGGGCAATAGTAAGTTGTCACTTGGCTCTCACGGCTAACAATACATTTGTGTGAAGACCGACCATTGGACGATGCAATGTTTACTTTTGTGGTGAGAAAAACATGGTTCTATACCCAGTATAAGAAAAACACTTTTATTCAGTCGCACAATCAGGGCACGGGAACCCGGAAAATGTGTCGCTGGCGGTCAGTTCCCCATTGTTTTCACCATACAGGCAAGTGGTCGCCTGTTGCTCTGCCCCAGTCGCAGTCACAACCATAGCATCCACTGCCTATAGGCAGCGTACCAGAAGCACCTGAAACAATATCCATTGACTGAATGTAAGAAAAAAAACACCACTTTAATTAACCACATAAACTGAAGCAATGACCACACTGATCATATCAGATGTAAGGAGCAATACTCTACTCTCAAGTGTACACGTCTTGTGTTCGTTTCCCTGGAAAACCAATAATATATTATGCTGCTTTTATGTTCCCTTTCGCTGTGCATGTGATGCATCTGCCAACGAACAGCTAGTTTGCACAACAGACTATAAACGCTGCAAAGAAGTGAGCTTGTACTGTATGTGAAGCACAGCACAAATGTCGAGACAACCTTGCTTCGGAAATATGATCCACCATGAGCTCTGTAAGAAAGCGGAATCTGGTATGGACGGCAAGAAGGCGATCCCAGATTTTTTGCGAAAGAAGCTTCTGTGAAGGAAACAATTCAACCAATTTCGTGAAGTGATCAGTCACGACAGTAAGATATTGATTACTGTACGGATTATGAGGGAACAATCCCATTACAAGTCGCAGGAAACAATCTGCCAAGCAGAGTGGCTTACGATTGGTTGCATAAATCCTGGTAGGAGACCTTCGCGTGACTTTGACTTCTGACATCCTGGACAAGTGTGGGCATACTTCAGTATATCCTGCCCGATTCCTGATCAAGTCTCGACATGACGTAACTTATTGCAAGTAATACTGTTGCTGCTGTGACCTGATGAGGCTGAATCATGGAAGTGACTGATGAGCAGCGTTCGGAGTTTCACAATCCTGAAAGGCGAGCCATGGGCGGCATCGTCTGCTTGAAAAATGTAGCTGAGAAAAAGTCCATTCTCTCTCAGCAAATATGAGTCGTACCTACCGTTGCTCTCGGTGCGGCCTACCCTTTGTTTTGCAAGTTTCTCACACACCTGTAGATGGAGCTCCCCAACATCAGTCGGCCACAATGCCAGTTATTCGCACCAATGCATCTTCGTCCTGAGTGGGAAGGACCTGCAAAGGACCATACGAGAACACATCTGCCGCAACAAAACTCCCTCCTTGTATGTAGTGGCTTAGTGGTATGCCTGCAATGTCGGAGCTCATTGTGCAAGACGTCCGACTGGATTCCACAAATTATTCGGCCAGGAGAACACTTGATTGGTCTGGATTTGAAAGTATGTGCCATTAAAATACATGTTAAATGTTTTAGGGCAAAAATAATGGCCAGACACCCCTTTTCTATTGCATAAAAGTAGTGTTTGGCCGCTGTCGGCATGCGGCTGGTGAAGGTAACTGGCCGAAGAACACCGTTGTGTTCCTGAAGCAGGACTGCACCAAGGCCATGAGTCGCTAGCAGCAGTTTGATCAACAAACGGGTTAAAGAGACCCGGAAACTAACGAAGCAAAGTCAATGATTGCCTTCGAGAGCCAAGGGAAAGTGTCTTGTTGCTTTTGTCTCCAATGCCAATTTTCTCTTTTGCACAAAAGCAAATGCAAAGGGTTAGCTATCCTGGCGCAGTGTGGGACGAGTTGGCAATAACATCCAATCAATTCTAGAAGGCATTGCAAGTTGTTGACGTCTTGCGGCTGCGGGCCATCGGTTATTGTGCACATCATGTCCCGATTGGGGTGAAAAACTCAAGTTAACAGCAAAGCCAAGAAGGTTCATTTTCTTTTCAGGGTGAACTGTCAAGTTGGCATATTGCATTTGCTCGCGGGCAATCATAAAATGTTCGAGGTATTTCTTGAAAGATTGGGGAAAATGACGCCATTCATGTACGCCATCACAAACTTGCTCTTTGTATCATCGACACCAATGTCCATTCGATGTTGAAAGGTATCCGGCAAATTTGAAAGGCTCGAACACTCCGCTGTGACAGGTGAAAGCGGTTGTGGAAACCTCCTCTGGGTCTATCTAGATTATCCTAGACTGCAGTCAAGCGTTGTGAACACTTTCGTGTTGTTGATCGCGTACATGATCAAGTCAATCAAGGGAAACTGGTATGAATCTCTCTTCGTTACAGCGTTGGTGCTGTGATGGGAGAGGCCCAATGACTCTGGGAGTTGCAAACAGCTCCGGTGTCGATCCACTCCTGTAGCGCTACATTCAGGAGAGCTCGTACATGGACAATGAGGGGCTTTGGGTTGCACCGTAGTTGGTCGAGCTTCGCCAGTCTCGATTCGATGCAGCAGCACATCAGTCTTTCCCGGAACTTCCGTGTAGTACTTTGGTGGAAATGGCTGCAAGATGCTCTCTAGCTATTGCTTTTGTTTCCTGGATGCTGGACGCACCTGCAGGGCGTCTTAGACACCGGCAGGAAAGGCTGCAGCAAGCCTTGTTGTACAGAGAGCCGGGAGAGTTGCGCCGGTAATGCAATCCTCTCGCCTCGTGAAGGGGGTCACATCCAGCTGGATGTCCATCCGGCCAATAGCCGCCAACATCAAAGTCGAGCAAACGTTTTTCGCCTGCAATAAAATCTCCACCAAAAGGTAATTGGCACGCTCAATCCTGGCAGATAAAGAAAAGGCTAGCGTGCCTCTTCGTCGAATAGAATGCCGAGCCTTGCAGCGCACTGCAGAAGTGTATTTCAGGAACAAAGCGGTTCTTTTTTTTGTTTTGCACAGCTCAAAAAAGTCTCCAATAAACAAACTTTCTGCTGCGTTATCAAGAAGGGTGGCAAAGGGAACAGCAAGTAGAAAAAGTGTCATGTGAGGCTCGATGTACTGATCTGTAGGTCGTATGCGACACAGATGAGAGAAGTGCTGGCGACTCGCTCATCCCGAGGCTGGAACTCGCTGCCGCCAGCTTGGGCCGGCGGCAGCGAGATCTCCAAGTTCAGCGTCGCGGGCCCTGTTGGTTTCCCTAGTTCCTCTGGCCTTGGCACCACCAGTGCAGGCATTGGCTGCGAGAATGGCCACGCTGTCCGTAGTTGTAGCAGGAACTGGGCTGCCAACGGTCTTCTGCCGCTCTATTTCCCATGTTACCCCAGTCTCTCCAACACTGGCCGCTGCCTCTCAACTCCACTAGTTCATTCCCTCATTGCCAGCCACCTCTCGGCCCAAGCTTGGGCATTTGTTGGCCGTTCAACGATCTCGAACGCGGTTAGGCAGCCGGCCTTCGCCGTGGGGAAACTGCAGCCAGCCGCTTGAGAAGGTCTGCAGCATCTGCGGCAAAATTTCGCTCTGGTGCGGGCCCTCGGGGGGAGGGGGAGCAACTCCAGCTGCCTGGCGCTTCCCTGGATTAGGAATTTAGACTCTTGACGACCCAGCTTGTTGTAAAAACATTGGACCTCCCGACGACAGTCAAGGGGGTTCAGGGCGAGGGGCAAGTAGGCGAGGTTGGCACAGACCCTTCTAGGAAGGTGTCGAGTCGTAGTTGCTCGTTCTCGGTTGACGCATGTGGGGGGTACCCACGCACAGGACGGCTCAGAGGCTTCTGCAGCTGGGGGCAGGAGGCCTGTAGTCCACGCAAGCCGCGATGGTTTCCTACATGAGGTCTTCAATGGTGTCGTAGTTGGACCCATGAAGGCACATGTTGTAACAGGGGTGGCTAACGAACAATGCGAGTAACCCTCTGCGACTCGAAAGCAGCTTGCACTGCTCGGTTGAGCAGTTCCTGCATGACCCGAATATGCTCCACAAGGCCTTCTTCTGGGTCCTGTGTACGACACTCGATTTCCCACCGGACTCCGGACTTGTACCCCAGCGCCAGGAACTCCTCTCGGAAGCTGCGGCGGAACGCCTCAAAAGATGGAAATAGAATGACTAATACCCGTGCCACACGGGCAACTCGAATGCCATTTACAGCGAATGACATTCGTGTGATTGATGAATCGGCTCGCAATGTCGCGGGTGGAATGCCCCACGCTCGGAGTGCCGCATGCTGATTGGCCGATCGTTCAAATGTCATTCGTTGTAAATGGCATTCGAGTTGCCCGTGTGGCACGGGTATAAGGCCATACGCACAACATTGTGCACCTTGACCGGAAGTGGCTATACGCACGACGCAGAGAGCTCACGCTGGACAAAGCGTGTATCACTGGGAGCTCGTTCACCCCCCGCCTGTGTTCACGTCGCTTCACTGCGACAGTATGCGGCTGCTAATTACAAAAATACCGTATTTACTCGAGTAATAGCCGCACTGTTTATGAAGAAAACCTGAGGGTTCGCTTTTCCGCGGAGCAGGCAGATTGCCAATCACCGCGATTGACGGCATGATTCCAGCTGTTTACAGGACAGAGATAATGTTTTCGTGCAAAGGTACCTGTGACGATTGCACTTGTATGGAGAATCATGTTCTTTATCTGGTTATTCGCTATGTTACTTATGCGCAACGCAATGATTGGCTGTATATGTGTTTTGTGGAAAAGTAGACGGGAGGTCCTTGTTCATATATAGTGCGGCTATTACTCGAGTGAATACAGTATTAGCCAAATGGCCAACCCCCCTCCTGCCCCCCCCCCCCCCCCTTTGCGGCATCCAGCCGACAACCAAAGCTCTGCTGTTCCCCATGCACCTCCGGAAAGACCATACCATTTAGTTGAGCGAAGTTTCGTCGAAAACATTAATTCTTTTTCACTGTTAATCATAAAAATGTAAATATTGCTAAATGCCTCAACAAAACCATGTTTGAGAAAAAAAGAAAAAAAGGGGTCTGCTGCGTACGAGGCAGACGCGTTACCCCTATGCTACTTTACAGCTTCGGGAATTTTGTTTTGACAGTTAGTTTTATACGAGAACCAAAACGTTTCGCGTCGTGCGTATAGCCCTTTTCGGTCGAGGTGCAGTCAATTAGAATCTGCTACACCCACCATCGTCTCGCACTCGCCGGCAAGGCAAGTGGGAAGATCCGCTTCAGCACGTAGGCATCCGAGGCGCTACGCGTCCGAGGCGCTCGACGCTCTTGCGTAGACGCCCAGCACCACCACGAAGTCGGCGACGAACTTGCGGTCGTCGAGTTCCTCTGGCTCGCGCTGCCGCTGGCCGCCGGTCCCGCCCGTGACGGCTGCTAAATGCTCCATCACCAACTCGAGGGCGGTAGACATACGGTCACTGCAGGGTCATTGAGGGCCAGGATCTCAATCGACGACGGACCGAAGCCCAACTCCGACTCCGTGTCGCTGGAGGAGTCCTCATCCTCGGCTCGCAGCTTGGGAGGCATGGGCAAGAAAACGAAAACGCACGGCAAACAAGTAAAAAAACAATAAATATACACGTGAAGCGAACATTAAGAAAAGCAATTGATCGCTATTGAAAGGTATCCCGTGCGGACGTGCGGCAAGAAAAACGGGCGCCGATGATTGGAACGGTGTCGACGCCGATCGCAAGTTTCACGATCGGTAAGTCGTACTCACTTGTTCCTTGTCGCCCCGCATTTTCTTCTGCCCATAGTGGCGTCTATTGTGTAAAGCGAGTCATAGCACACCCGGCTGAGGCACAGCGAGTCGAAATCCAAGTGGCTCGTCACGCAGCGCGCCGGCCCTGCTGCTTGCGTACGGCGGCAGGGTACACCCGGCGGCAGACAACCTGACGACGATCTCCATCGGCATGCAGCAACCGCATTGGCACCTTAAAACAGAAAACCGGCATCAATTATACATCCGAGTTTTACAATAAAAAGCGTATCACCTATCAATCCGTGTTGGGAGCGGCGGAGTTCCGTCGCCGAGTGCGTTCTTCTCTTTTGAGTCCGGAGTCCGGTGTCGATGCCGAAGACGCTTCGCTGGCTTCGCAGCGCCGTGGAATGCCGTCGTCTACGTTTGCGGCGCGTTCGAGACGTCGGCGTCGCGCGTAGAAGCGGCGTCGCACGGGATGAACCTGATATCTGCCGTCTGCCGAAGAATTTCCATACGACCGACACCACCGACACCACATTCGATAAACGTTTTCAAATGAGTCCGTCCAATACGCGCACGTTCGAAAAAATCAGTCCGCCGAATACGCGCACATTTCAAAATCAGTCCGCCGAATACGGGCGCATTTCAAAATCAGTCCGCCGGGACTCGCGATTGGCTGGCGCACGCCCTCCCCTGCTGCCTTCCCGTCCGACAGCGCCCCTGACGGCGTGCGCCTAGGCGCAGAACACCGATCTTTGATTGGATTTTTAATAGGGAAATCGGCCGCCCTGGAATGTAATTTTAGGATTTTTAGGATGCTTAGAGCCCGTGGATTGCGTTATGACAATAAAAAGACGATTTCAGAATCCACTTGCGTGCCCCTTTAAAATGCCGTTCAATGAGGATGCACATGAAGGCCTCTTGTCTACACGACCTTCGGGTGGAAAAAACTGTTCAAAAATGTAATGGTGCACACATATTTAATTTTTGGTGGCCACATTCCAGCATTTCTCCCTTAAGTAGCCTCTATGAAACGCAGTTTAACAATTGCAGAAACTTTACGCAGGCTACTAAAGCTGACTTGCAAAACGTGCAACTGGCTGCGTCACCTTGACACAATTCTATCGAAGCGTTCAGTTTAAGGGTGCCCCTTACAATAAATAGCCTTCCATTGTGCATTGGCTGTGCATGCACTCTGCTGTTATAAATAACAGAAGGCCCGTAATGAAGGTAGGGCAACTTAATCATTTTTAATTTGCCACCGACTGTGCTTAAAACATAGTTTGGGTGGGCATCCATTTGAAGCATTACGGTAAAAGGCTTCAGTCCACATTCCAACCCCATTTGCATAAATCTTCAGATAACCCAAGTTAAACCACAAAGTAAGAATCCCAGCCTTATACCCGTCCGTCAATATTGTGAAAAAGAGGACACATAAATACCGGCAGTGTCCTGTTGGTGAAGTTCTTCAGCTGCGCTTCTGCAGCACTAAACTGTTCCATGTTCCGGAGAGGCATCAGGAACAGCTCGGGTGGTTCAGGCCTGGCCAGTTCTTGGGGTGTCGCCTGTTCACCGGGCCTTGCCTGCTCTCCCTGGTACTTGAAAGACACCACGTGCCTGAGCACCTGCCCAACAGACTTGCAGTTCCCTGTTCTGCTGCTGTAGGTGCCCATTCTGGATGTGCAGGTCGATGACGGCCTAAGCAGCTGAGCGTCGAAGGCTGCAAGATAACCAAGGCATAAGAAAGCATTATCCATTTTGCTGATCAACATTATGCACTGATGATGGGAAGAAACTCTTTCAGAAACTTGGGTTTCGGGAAGTTTCAGAAGAACGCTTGAACCTTCAGGTGTTTCGGATGGTTTGGGTAGCTTTGGAACGGTTGCCAGACACAGCGAGTGTTTCAAATTTTTGTAAAAATTTAAGAGACGTTATAATTTGTATGCAATATTCATAAATTTAATAAAAAAATGTGTTAATCAAATAAACTTTCTGAAAAGGAGTCGCGGCCCCAATTTCCAGAACTTCAGAGTTTTGGCTTGTATGGTCAAAATGAATGCTCCCACAAAGTTTTATGATGTTTTCTGACAATCAAAGGAAATAAAAATACCGATTCATCGGCGACGCACGCGAGACGCACTGCACTTAGCTGCGATAAGCACCAGTTTAAAAATCTGATATATAGGTCCGTGCCTATCAGGCCTAGCTTGGTGCCTGTACCCTTGTTTGAACTGCCATTTCCTGGGCTTTCAGGACGGCCTTTTTTTAACTATCAACCGTCTAAGAATGGGAGAGAATCCCGTTAAGAACACTTGCCCTGGGATAGAAAACGAAATTGGCTGCAAGCGGCTGCTTTGTGGTCACATGATACCTCGCGCCTAGGCATATGACGCTTTAGAATGAATTGGCACTTCCAAGTGAAGCACAGGTCGTCAGTTGCGCCCCTTGTTAAATAGCAGAAGTTCCCAATGCAACTTTGTTTTCTATCGTTTCACTCGCAGCCTACAGTGTGTACAGATGATCCACCTTTCTTCGGTTCTCGTAGCAGACGACGCAACGGCGTCTTGTTTCCCGCAGCAAATGACACTCTAGGGCAGACAAACCCTCCCTCTTTACTCACGTTAGCAGGCGACGTGTCTGTTAAAGAAAGGTCAGCTCCCTCAGTACAAGCCTGCCGAGATCTCAACCTCACAAAACACCGAAATCGGGCCACTGGTACAACATTTCAAGGTACAAACACAAACTGCACAGCACGGCGCCGAAGCAAACTTGCTGCACCTAAAAACAAGCCTCTAAGCTGTCCGTCGAACCTCTCCAAAGTAGGACAGCACCACGATCGTTCTTGGCAGCATGCAATGCTTTCCCACAGCATTACGAGAAAGTTTTGTGACGAGTAGCGTATTGAAGGACTCGGTCACTACTGTAAATGTGCATGTGTCACTACGAAGATTATGGAGCTAACTAAATTGAGCAACTGCGTGCAAGCTAATCTGGTCAAGCATGCCAACAGAGGGCAGATCAAAAACGTGTGCTAGCACATTATCAGGACTTTAGATGAAAGGGAACAGTACAACATAATACTTACTGGATTTCTACAAACTTAATGCTCTGAACGAAGGCCAGTCAGGGTCTGGTGCTTGGTCCGCTCGCACACGAGACAAGATGTCCGCCCCAGACATTTTGCTTGGCCTCACGCCGTTGTTTCATACTCACATTGAACCACAACAGAGGGACGGGCGCCACCGTTATATTGTCATTCTCTTCGATGAACACTACTCCTCCTCACTAGAATAAAAGGCGTGGTCAAACATGATGTTCATTCAAGTTACTTCACACTGTCACGTCTTCGCAACCTTTAGCATATAATATAATAACTCCATGGCTATATCCCGATGCACCTTCACAATGAAACACGACGGCGTCGCATTCCATAAACGCCAAGTAATAAAAGTAGCGGTAAAAGAAACAAACGGTGTTTAAACCCCCCCTCCCTCCCTCCCTCCCTTCCTCCCCCCCCCCCCCCACTCACTCACGGATTAAGCGCGACGATGGGATGACGAGCTAGCGGGACGGTGAGACGACGCTCCTGACGCTCGACTCCATTTATTTCTATCTTCTCCTCCACCTTTCTCCCCTGAACCTACCCCGAGTCAGTGACAAATGCGCCTAGCGCGCGTACACGATTGACTTTATTCCCCCCCCCCCCCCTTAATTTCACTTCAACGCTTACAACACACGGAGGCCGCCGCCAACCGATCGCCGTCTCGCCGGGCTAGCGGCGCGACACTCGTCCATACTCGGCCGGGAGCCCCGAAGGTGCGCTCGAAGCGTGGAAACAGCACGATGCAACGAAAGGCAAAGGGCATCTACACCACGAACGGGCAGAAGCCGATGCAAAAACGTGCGCGAACGTGAACAGAAAAGTGCGGTCGCTCGCCACTACGAAATAATCCGCGGCCGCATCCCTTTCCTGCTGCACGTACTTTCTCTTACACTCTAAAAAAAAGAAGTCGACAAATGTCGACTCGACTCTTTCTGGAGAGTATCTGGGTTGTCGCAAACCACACTCTCTATTGAGAGTAACGGTTACTCTTCAACGACGGGAGTCAGTTTAACTCTGCCATGCGAGTGTTCACTTAACTCTTCTATAAAGAGTCATGCCAATACTTTTGCCAGAGTCAGCACTACTCTTTCGATGTGTAAGTGTGAGAGTTAATTTCACTCCTTTGTGTAGAGTAACTATAACTCCATAAAAAGTGTTGTCTAAACTCTTTGACGATAATTAATATCACTCTTTTGTGTAGAGTGACTATAACTCTATCAAAAGTATTGCCTAAACTCCTTGTTAACGAGTTAAGGAGGCTCTCCAGGCAGAGTTACCTTCACTCCTTCATGTAGAGTAACTTCAACTCTGTATTCAAGAGTTACGCGTACTCACCAGGGAGGGTTTCCTTCACTCCATCGTGTAGAGTAACTACAGCTCCATTAGAAGTGTGGCCTAAACTCTGTACTTAAGAGTTAAACATACTCTCCCTGAAGAGTTGATTTCACTTTTTTGTGTAGAGTAATGAGAACTCCATTAAAAGTGTTGTCTAAACTCTGTGTAAAGAGTTGAAAAAACTCTCCAGGAGGAGTTGATTTCACTTGTTTGTGCAGAGTAACTACAACTCCATTAGAAGTGTTGCTTAAACTCTGTATTAAAGAATTAAGCATGCTCTCTAGGAAGAGTTGTGATGACCATTTTGAGGAGAGTAAATAAAACTCCATTAGAAGTGTTGCCTACACTTCATACTAAAGAGTTAAGTATGCTCTCTAGCGAGAGTTAATGTCAAATAACAGCACACTTGAGCAGTTTAACAGCACACTTGAGCAGCACACTTGAGCATTAAAGAGTGCTTAACTCTTTAATAGAGTCAATTACTCTCCACAAAGAATTGTGTAAAGTACACCCCCGTGTGCCTAAACTCTGTATAAAAGAATTAAACACACTTTTCAGGAAGGGGTCACACAAACTCCGCTCAATTATACTCTTATATGTTGTTTTTGTTGTGTTGTTGAGTGCAAGTTAACCCAGTAAAAAGTAACAGAAACGCCTGAAAAGAAAATTAGAAGAACAGAAGTGTAAATTTGGCTGTTTGTTAATAAAAAGTTTGCTGGAAAAAAAGTAAAAAAAAAGAAAAAAAAACTCTACTGGCGATCAGCATTTCTAGCCAGTTAAAGTGCGACCACTGTACTTTTTGCAATAATTTTATGAATGTCAATACCTCTCTTGATTTCACTGTAATGTGGAATGCTTTTGGCCTTATTGCAGGAGTTGTTCCATACAACTAGGGACAACTCAAGTATTTTGCAATGAACAGTAGCCCTAAAATCTAAAATCGGCTATGTACATGTTTACAAGATGGTTGCATAGGAAATGTGGAACGGCACATAGATAATGAGCCTGTACAGAGGCTACAGGTCTTCATGAAAAGTCAGCATGGAAAGAATAAAAACAGTAGAAAAAAGCTCAATAAACC